GATTTTTTGCATGCTTAATTTAGGTTTTAACACCCAGCCGATACTTTCCTACCAATTTTTCTTAATTGTTTTTTTTTCTCAATTCTATTTCACTTCCTTTTGTTTCTCAATATTCCTTCGTTTTTGCCCAATTTTCCGTTTTTTTTCCCAATTTTTCAATTTTCCTCAATTTTCGTGGTAATTGAAATTTTCTCATTTTTCATAATTTTCTAGATCATTGAATGAAGGAAACAATCACAGTTCAGTCATTTACCCACAAAAATTCAAAAATCCCAAAAATTGGCCCAAAATGAGCTGTTTTCTCTCGAAAATTGTTCGAACATGCAATTAAACATTACAAAAATTATAAAATTAATTTTTTTTTTCGATTAATTACCACGAAAATTTGAGCAAAAACGATGAAAAACGAAGGAAAACGGAGAAAATCCCAAAAAAAATTGGCAGCGATGACGTCATCAGTCATCATGACCGTTTTTTTTGTAAATTTTTTTTGTAGTGTTCGAACTGGAAAAATTTAAATTTTTGTCTATAAATCGCTGGAATAATCAAAACAATTATTTTCCGAAATTTTCGAAAAATCGATTTTCAGCTAAAAAATGACCAAACTCCCAGCCACGGATCCATTTGAGCTAGCATTTGCTGAGACTGACAAAACAGATGCAATTCTAGTAGTTGAGGGAAAGAAATTGCATGTTAATAAAGCGGTAAGTGGTTTGGCGGGAATTTGAAAATTTCAAAAAAATTTCCAAAAATCGATAAATCCCCAAAAGTTTGCAGCTCCTCTCCATTCACTCCGACTACTTCAACACCCTGTTCAACTCGGAATTCAAGGAAAAATCAATGTCGGAAATCGAAATTAAGGATGTGGAATTTGAAGATTTTGTCACATTGCTCAGCCTTATCATGCCAGAAACAATGCCACTGACAAGTAATCAGAAAAACTAGAATTCTTGAAAATCGTTCAAAATTTTCAGTTCAAAAAGGCGAGAAACTTCTGGAACTATCCGATCGATTTCTCATTCCAGCTGCCAAACGCCACGTGGAACTTTTCATTGCTCAGTCGGATATGGATAAGGAGAAGAAGCTGATATTGGCTGATAAATTCGATTCGGAGATTTTGAGAAACAATGCACTGGCAGAGTACAAAGAAAGACATTTTTACAATAATATTGGCAATGTTGGAAAGAATTTCTCCCAGACTACTAAAAATGCCATCTTTGATGTCTTTTTTCAGAAATTCCAACATAAACTTTGATCTCTTCTGTTGTGTTTTTGAATAAACTGTTATTTTTACTCTTTTTTCAGCACTGTTCTCATGAGTTTTCTTTCAAATTTTATAGGTTATTCTTCAAATTTCTTTAAAATCTGATAAAAATGAGATGAAATTGCTTATTTTCATCGAAAGTCGCAATAAAAATCGGCAATTGTCGTCAAATTCGGTGTAAAACTACGGAGGTACGCAATACACGCCGACGAAACCTTGCGGAATTTTTTTCCAGCTCAAATAAAAATCGCATGTTTTTCAGCTTTTTTTCGTTGGATTTTCTCGCGGTTTTCACAATTTTATGCTTAAGTTTTAAAAATTGTCATTCAGAAATTCAAAAAATCACGCCTCTCAGTTGAAAATTTCTGTCGTAATTTGAAAAAACTTTCCACTTTCCCAAGCAAAGGGAAAATGTACTAAAATGCGCAAAAATATGAACTTTTCCTTACCACTGAGACATCCGAAAATGACGCCAAATTCAAAAAATTTGGACCCCCCCCCCCAACTACAGTGTGTTTGTTGAATAAAACTGCTTTTTTTAAATTTCAGATTTTCAGCATGTTTCGCAATGTATAGATGAAAAATCGAAAAAATAAAAAGAAAAGTTTCGAAGATCTCTTTAGCCTTTGCAAACACCAAAAAATCCGAAAATTCGTCGATTTTCGGAAATTTTTATCAAAAATTGAGCTTTCCTGGATTACTGTAGCTTGAAAAATACGCAAACACCGACTTGCTCACTCTAAATTTCACACCGGAAATCGTTCGGTTTTAGGCGATTTCAAATTTTCTTGATTTTTTCGCCATTTCTGTCTTCTCAAAAATTTTGATATTTCAAAAAAATTGAAAATTTGAGTTTACTCAGGTTACTGTAGTTGGAAATGTACGCAGACACAGCCTTGCTCACTCTTAATTTACCACTGGAAATCGCTAATTTTCAGCCAATGTTTGGGTCGATTTTCTTCGTTTTTCTACTATCTTGCGTCTTTTTTCTCGAAATTTCGATTTTTTTCAAAAAATTTCAGCCAAAAAATGACCGCCAAACCTATTCACCCAATTTACGAAGCTACATTCGCTGAAACCGATAAAACCGATGCGATTCTATTGATTGATAATAAGAAATTGAATGTCAATCAGGCGGTAAGTGGTTTGGCGGAAATTTGAAATTTTCGAAAAAAATATTTTTTAATTCCAGCTCCTCTCCTACCATTCCGACCACTTCAAAACACTATTTCTCACAAAAATCGAAGAAAAATCGAGAATGTCAAATTTCAAGATTTTGCCACTTTGTTGAGTCTCGTTCAGCACAATCCGCTGAAAGTTGCCGGTCAGCTCCGCCCACTTTTTAGGCCACGCCCACAAAAATTTGAAAATTCCATGAATTTTTTGTTTTGAAAAAAAAAAAATCAAAAATCGGTCAATTATCGATTTTTCGAATAATTCGAAAATTTTCAAAAAATTGATTAATTATCACTTTTTCTTAAAAATTAAGACTTTCAAAATTATGTCAATTATCGATTTTTCCAGAATCCAACTCGGAACGTCTTCTGGAATTGTCTGAAAAATTCGAGATTCCGGCCGCGAAGCGCCACGTGGAACTGTTTCTAATCACCACCCATAAAGATAAAATGGACAAAATTCGAATCGCCGATCGATATCGATTGGACGATTTGCTGGCGAACGGAGTGATGGGATTCAAAACGAACATCGAATTTCGAAATTTGAGACAAAATTCAGACTACAAAAGCTACACTGATAAGACGAGAGTCGCGATTTTTCATCGAATGTTCGAATCGTCCAATCGATATCGATCGGCGATTCGAATTTTGTCCATTTTATCTTTATGGGTGGTGATTAGAAACAGTTCCACGTGGCGCTTCGCGGCCGGAATCTCGAATTTTTCAGACAATTCCAGAAGACGTTCCGAGTTGGATTCTGGAAAAATCGATAATTGACATAATTTTGAAAGTCTTAATTTTTAAGAAAAAGTGATAATTAATCAATTTTTTGAAAATTTTCGAATTATTCGAAAAATCGATAATTGACCGATTTTTGATTTTTTTTTTTTCAAAACAAAAAATTCATGGAATTTTCAAATTTTTGTGGGCGTGGCCTAAAAAGTGGGCGGAGCTGACC